CCATCTTTATCTTTCTGAGATAGAACAGCTTCAAGTTCTGAATCTGAGATATCAGTGTAAAGATAGAATTTCTTTGTAAAGTCAGGGTAAATTAAAATAGGTGCAGTTGTAAGATGTCATTTAATTTGTTGAAAAGCTTCTTCTTGTTCCACAGTCCAAATGAATAATTCTTTATTGTGAAGTAATTTGAATAGAGGGGCAGTGATTTGAGAGAATCCTTTTATGAATTTTCTGTAATATCTGGCTAATCCAAGAAATGATCAGTGTCCTTTGATAGTTCTTGGTTGAGGGAAGTCTTTTATCTTCTGAATAGTTGATGGGTCAGGGGAAATTCCTTCTTCAGTTATTACATGTCCAAGAAATGGCAATTCTCTTCTGCAAAAGCTACATTTTTCCGGATTGAGTTTTAAATTAATTTAGATCTAATACTGAAGCTATTTTTGTAGAATGGCATCTCTTTCTCTCCTATTTAGACTTTTCTAAGATAATATGGAACGTTTAATGATAATAATAATTACAGAATAAATCATTCAATTATGATACTATGATAAAAGATGGTTATTACGTTAACCGTATCGTAAAGAGCATTGACACATGTCGATTCTCACGAGAGTTATCACTATTATCATTGTTACGATGCTCCCGAAATATTAAATGATTATTTTGGTAACGATGATCACCTTACGTGATTTGTTGGTAAAAACCGTTTTCACTATTGACAATCATTACCGTTATTGTTAGAGTCAAATGTAGAGCATTCTAAATTTAGTCGAAATCTTTCCGCCAGGCAAGAATTAAGGAATTGCGGAATTTAAGGTTACTTCGGTAACGGTAATACCATTATTTATTATTAAACAAAGCGTGTTTCCTGGTTTAGAAAGATTGTACAGTGAATGAAGTTTTGAGATAAAAACTTGTGGTCATGAAGAACCTTTTCTGAATGTGCGATGCTGTATTAAATTAGTATTCTTTAGTTAATATTTCAATCATCTTTCACAAAAGTTATATACATGTACACGTAAATAACGAAACTTATCACGCGTTTGATTATCTTCTTTTCGTGTTTTTCGTGTTTTTTTTCTTATCGAAAATCCTTATTAATAATAATAGTGAAACAGCACAATGGATATGAAACTCGCGACCCCATTCTTACAGGAACAGAGCCCGGCAGTCAAGTAATGAAATTACTCTTCCAGAAACACATCTTTCATATTTAAATTTATCTTACTCGTCTGAGTTTCTACCATTTAATTCATCCAGTTCAAACAACTAATAATTAAATTCAAACATCTAATTCAAGTGATCAAATTCCAATTCATCAAAATTGCTTGTTAATTGTTTGTTAAAATTCGCAAAACAATCAAGATATTTATTGTTCAGTTGTTTATAGACTCACTACTTCGACAACAAATCATCTAAAAAAAATATATCCTCTTGTTAGCTTAGCTGTTAGTAATTATGAATAGTTCAAAACAAAAAAACAATCACACAAATATTTGATTTACTCTTCTGACTTATTGCTTGATTTGTAGATAACATTCAAGCCATTAACACGAACAAAAATAATGCTTTTTGAGTTTCATATTCATATATTAACGTTAAATGCGGATTTTTATAATTAATTCATGTAGCAATTAAATTCTTAATTATCCAGACACATTGCTGCTAATTCATGATACCATATCAACTATAATTAGATACTATATACGAGTGACAGAAGCAGAACAAATCTAAGAGAAACAGACCGAATATAAGGGAAACTAAGGAAAACAAACCATATTTAGGCGAAGTAACTTTCTTATAAATGAATGGCAGAAACAGAACGAGTCTATAATTTATAAAACAATCGAATAAAAATAAAAACGAACAGAATATAAAATAAAGAAATGTTGTAAAAGAACCTTAAGTTTAAAGAGGGAAAAAGCTTAGATTAATGAAAGCAGCGTATACTCAGAACGTAAATTAAAACATATTCATGGCATGAAAACGTGGTGTTTACGATAAACGAACGTATCATGAGTATTGATGGTGCTCACTTGAGGGAAATCAAGCTACGATTTAAATCGAACAAAACGTTTTTCTTCATTTACATAGGGAGGTCGGATCCTCCTATGAAATCGGACCAAATGTCAATGGGTTCACTATTTTGTTGCTCCGTATGATCAAATTCTTCAAGTCGAATAGTGACCTCATCGACCGAATAAACATAGCGTAGCAGGTTATGATGATTATCAATAAAGAGAAAATTCTCTTGTTCAATCTGTGGCACTTCATTAGTGGTTGAGGGATTAGGTTGTAAATTGGATTCAACCGACTCAACTTCTATGTTTGGGATATCGGAATCAAAGCTGCGATCTAAATCGAGCAAAGCGTTTTCTTCATTTACTATAGGAAGGTTGAATCCCCTGATGAAATTAGACCAAATGTTAACGGGTTCATTATTTTGTTGCTCCGTCTGATGTAATTCCTCAAGTCGAGTATTGACTTCATCGACTAAATAAGAATAGCGTAGCAAATTACGATTATCATCGGTGAAGAGAAAATTCTCTTGGTTCGCATTTGTAGTCATTGTTATATTTAATATATGGAATGTGGTTTTTTTTGTCTTTTAAAAATTTTCTGATTTTTTTTTTACGAACTCGAAGTGCTTTTATATTAATCAAGGGAATTTATCTATTTATGTTAACATATGTTCTTGCATTCTAGATTAATATCGTTATTTATTTTATATAATAGCACGTTTTTATAATTATTTTTAAATCAACAAACAAGTTTTTGCTAGAAAAATTGTGTTATTGGTAAAGAAAGAAATCACAAGGTTGAAGACTCACATAGTAAAAATTATATTGTCTTATATACTTTCATATCTAAATATTAATAAAAAAATGTGCTTTCAATAATCCAGGTTAAATGGCCAATGTAGATACATGCTCAAATCAGGCATTTTATATGCCTACCACGAGACTATATAAAAATTTATATAAAATGTATATAATTAGACAGAAAATTAGTGTGACTACATTGAACTTTAAGCTTCAAAATATATGCATGTAAGCAGGTAACAGGTAACTTATTTCCGCCGCGTGTACATGAAAAAAGCGGGAACTTTATTTGATTTGTTAAAGAGCGTTATAATAAGGCGTTTCAAATGATAAATTTAGCGAACTTTGAAATGAACACAATTACGTCAAATTTGACTAGCTTATTTTGTATACTATAATGGTTGATAGTAATGATAAAATGCAATACCGGTTTCTATTTTTCTAGAAAATTATATAATCATTTATTTGTTTTTTAAATTCCCAAACATACAGTATATATGCAGGGCACACAAATTGCCTAAATTATACATGTACATGTCATTATTGTAACAATATCTTTCGTGTTCAATTAAACGTCTTCTCGTCATTTCGTTTTTTTGATTATATTTTTACCAATACTACGTATCACATTTCTTTTTTCACAAAGTAATACAAATAAATTCTTGAGTCATTAAATTGGTCATTTTTCAATAGAGAAATGCGAGCATTAGAATAACTGCTTGTTTGTTATCATTAGCATCTATCTATTTATCCAACATTAAAACGAGAATTTGGCGTCTTTTTTATTACAGTTATGCAAAAAAAAATAAAAATAAGAAATGCGTCATTGGGATTTATAACTCTCCTGTTCTCTTAAAAAAGATTTAGCAAGTACAGCTTGCTAAATCAAGACAAAAAAGAGGAATAGCATGCTTTGTCCCTAGTAATTTTTCTTTTCAATAATCAATAATCATCAAAATAAACAAAAGATCTATGGTAATATTTTACATTATATGCGAAAAAGTCCCTTAGGAAAAATTGTTTGAGAACAATTTTAATTTTCATTTACTTTCAAAAATCAATACAAATGATCTAATATATATGAAATAATCAGGCAAAACGTACATTATGCTACTCAAAATTGATGTCTGCTTTCACGTGGCATGAACCCTAACTCGATTTACTTCTCGGTTCCACAATAATATCATCGTGATGCATCCTTACTTCAACTCGCAATATAGCTGCTTTATGGATCCTGAAACATGATGATGAAAGCGATCAGCATCGAAGATAACGACAACGTTTATATAATCATGATTTGAAAAAGAAAATTTGTTGTTTACCAATATACATGTAATTATCAAACATTTGGCGTCATAAAAGATATGGAGGTATTGTAATGTCTGAGGATTTACTCGCGAAATAATGCGCAGGGTGTAATTTCGAATCACGGCCCGCATTAAGCTTAATTCAGGCCGAAATTCGAAATTACACCCTTGCACGTTATTTCGCGAATATACGGTAATATACGCAATGTGAAAATATTTGATTGATAAGACAAATATAAGAGAAATATTTTGATAATTTATTAGAAAATCAAGTGGCAATTTGTTCTATCATGCTTTTGAGTTCCATAAAATTTCATGTTTATAATTGGTTCAGAATTCTCATTACATTACTCATATCATTTATCTTTTGTCTCTATTGTTAATTAATATTAATAAACATTTTGCAATGCATATTTTAGTTATTTATGATTACTGAATCAACAATAGTTAGATAATGAATTGTACAAATGTTATCTTTGTTTTAACGGACGAACCAAAGAACGAACTCAACATATATATATATATAAGTGACAGAAGCAGAATGAATCTAAGAGAAACAGAACGAATCTAAGAGGAACAAAACAAATCTAAGACGACAGAACGAATATAAGCGGAACAGAACGAATCTAAGGAAAAAAGAATGAGCCTAAGGGAAACAGAACGAATTTAGGAGAAATAGAACGAACTTATTTTACATATTAGTGGCAAACAGAAATAGGAAATGATGATGTTAAAGAACCTTAAGTTAAAGAGAAGCAAAAACCTTAAATTAACGAAAACAGAATAATCAGAACTTAAAATGTATTTTTGGCAATAAACGTATCATGTGCTCACTTCGAGGGATTATGTTGCGAATCGGCCTTAACCACGTCTATCGGGACATCTGGATCAAAGGGATGTCGGAATTAAAGCTACAATCTAAATCGAGCAAAAAGTTTTCTTCATTTACTATAGAGAGATCGGTTCCTCTGATGAAGTCGGACCAAATGTCAATGGATTCATTATTTTGTTGTTCCGTATAATGAAATTCCTCAAGTCGAGGAGTAACCTCATCGACTAAATAAAAATAGCGTAGCAAGTTATGATGATTATCAATAAAGAAAAAATTCTCTTGTTCAATCTGTGGCACTTCATTAGTGGTTGAGGGATTAGGTTGTAAATTGGATTCAACCGACTCAACTTCTATGTTTGGGATATCGGAATCAAAGCTGCGATCTAAATCGAGCAAAGCGTTTTCTTCATTTACTATAGGAAGGTTGAATCCCCCGATGAAATTAGACCAAACGTCAATAGATCCATTATTTTGTTGTTCCGTTTGATATAATTCATCACGTCGAGGAGTGACCTCGTCGACTAAATAAGAATAGCGTAGCAAATTACGATTATCATTGGTGAAGAGAAAGTTCTCTTGGTTTGCATTTAGATTCATTTTTATGTTTAAAATGTGCTATATTTTTTTTTTGCTTATTTTTTTGCTTTTTCGAAATCTAATCGTTGATATTTATATTAATTTTGATTAAATTGACATGCATAATTTACTAACAAAACACGATATTATTTAAATTTTCTTAACCAAAAAGCAACAAACTAGTGCCAAAAAACAACAGAAAAACGACAAATACATGTACTACCAAAAAACAACAAAAATGTTACAAAACACATGTAGTACATGTAACTAGTTTCAAATTCCGCAGATTTTGCTGGTCTATAACGTGATTTGTGTTTTGCATAATGATGCTGTGATTTTAAATTTACCATTATAAAAAATCTAACTACATTGTCTTTCGACGAAAAAAAATATTGCATTTGTGAAATATGATATACATGTACATAATGTTAAGGAATTACATGAAATTACAAATATCCCTAATATCTACAAGTTATAAAAACAAAAAATGGTTTATTAAAGCACGCTGGTGGAAATGGCAACCTAAAAAATTACCAAAATTTTTCCCGAGCATATAAGACATGACACATTTTTTTCTATAAAGAACTGTGACAGAAAATATAAATATAGAAGTATTGTACAGAACTATTGGAAGGCCAGTATTGGATATTCAAAAAAAAACTTCCAAAAGCTACCTCTATGTTACCTGAAGCACACAAACAAAAACTTATCAAAAACATATTAATAATCGATGAAATAAAATAATATTACCAATAAAACTGATTTTCAACTTTTTAGAAACACTATAGAACATTGGTACAAAGAAGAAAGACCAGTATGCTAAAGATCGCAATTCTTCCTGAGATTATCCAGGTGCTTGGCGCTTCCAGCAGAACAATAACCTAAAGCATACAAATCATCTTACAAAGGCCTTTTTTCTAGAAAATTTTAGAGTTACTATTAAATAATCTGAATTTAAATACTATTAAAAATCTTTGAATAATTGTAAAGAGTGATATAGAAAAATGAAGCCAAAAAAATCTAAATAGTTTAGAAAAATTTATAATAGAGAAATGGCAAAATATTCTCAAATGGTTCTAAATTAATCTTATAAATATGATGAGAGCTGTCATTATTAATTAATTATTGAAAAATAATGATGAATGAATTTTATATTAATTTATATCAATAAAGATAATAATCTTCAATAAAATGTTACAATATTGAGTATTTAATCTTTTAATTCTTATTTTTCTATCCCATACTATAACTATAACTTTGAGATCAGAAATAATATTTTTGATTTCAGATTTGATAAACTAAATTACAAAATAATGTCTGAATATCATTGTGAATTCACATTTATATGGCTAGTAAAGATTATATATCATTCTGAAAGACAGATAAAAATAACATTAAATGATTAAATTCAAATTATTTTATTGATATATGAATAGAAATAAATTATTTTTAACAAAATAATATATTTATAAATTTAAAAAAAAATTTCATTACATATTTATTTTTTAAATTTACAAATATATTTTTTAATCTTAAAATATAGTTTTACAAAAATATTTTTAAACTTATTAAAAATATTTTTAAATAATTTCTTTTTCAAGATCATTTCATGTAAATATCTAATTTATCATATTTAATGCAAAATTCTGTAAAATTTTATTAAGCTAATATGTTTTATGCTATTAGATAATTTTGTTTATAATATTTTAAAGAATATATTTTAAGTTTTAAATACTTTATCATTAAAATACAGATGAAAAACAGTCACTATATTCTTTTTGTTCAGAACAATATATATTATATTTATATATATATAAACTGTTATAAGAAGATTGATATACTTATATAAAAATTAATAATTGCTTTTAATAAGAATTATTCAAATTTTTTTATATTAAATTAAATAAAAATATCTAAATTTACTTTTTATACTATTTTAATTATCTTATTATACTTTAATTTAATAATAATAAAGTATTACTTTACTAAAAAAACTAAAATAAAATTATTTTTTTTAAAAAAAGATATTTTAAATATTATCACTAGCAATTTATAATATTAAAACTTTAAACTATACAAGCAGATTACTTTATATTTGATAAATATATATTTCTAAATTTTATAAATTGAATTAGTAATTATAAAGATATTAAGATTCAAAGTTTAGTAATTAAATTATTTATAATGTAATTTTTATATTAATTTTAATTAAATTTTATATAGTAAAAATTAAGAAATAATAATAGAAAAAAGTTATTATTAGTAAAAATTTTTTTATAAAAGATATATAATAAAAATTTTTGTATTTAAATAAATTTTAATATCTAATAACTTAATTAAATAAAACAGAATTAAAAATTTTATTTTAAAAAAATAATCTATTATTATTTATCAGATATATCAAAATTTTTACAACAAATTATACTTAATAAAAATTAAAAATTATTAATAAAATTATTAAGATATTAGTATAACTAAATTACTTATATCAATTAAATAATAATAACTTTAAGCTAATTAAAATAAAGATTATATTATATAATTTGATAAATACTTTCTATTATTTTAAAGATTTTAACTTAGTACTTATTATAAGTAATAAAAATTAAGTTTTTTTTATGAAAAATAAAATAAAATTTTTACTATATAATCTTAATTATAAAAGAAATAAAATTATTTAGTATGATATAAGTAATTTTTATAATAGAAATTTTTGTAAATTTGATTTAAAAGCAAAAATATTTTCCAAAAAAAATAGCAGCTTTTTTAAGTATTAAAAGAATTTATTAGATTATTTTATTTTTATTTTTTAAATATATTTCTCTTTTAAAGATATATTAATATACTTATTTTTATAAAGTCTAATTATATATTTATCAAGATATTTGTAAATATATATAAAGTTTTTTGTGAAAAATAAAATACTATTTTTTTATAAATATGATTAAATATATTTTATTAAAGATTCAAATTTTATAAAGATTTTAATATTAATTTATTATTTATAAAAGAATATATTTATCTAGAAAAGTATATTATAATAGTCTAGTAAAATTTTTAAATAATTTGATAAAATTATTAAATTTTTTAATTCTTATTTTCAAAATTTTTTTGTTATTTAAATAAAATTTATTAAATTTTTTACTTCTTATTTACAAAAATTTTTTTTGTTATTTAAATAAAATTTATTAAAAATTATATTATATTAATTAATTTTATTATTTTAAATAAACTTATTCATTAGATATTTAAAAATATATAATTAAAATTTTATTTTATTTAAATAATTTTTTATAAAATTATAATCAATTAATCAATTCTTATTACTTATGATAAGCACTATATAAATTATATTTATTTATTATTATTATTTTTTTATAAATATCAAAATTAATATAATAAACTAGTAATATTAGTAAAAGTATTATAATTTAAGTAGTATTTATAAAATAATAAAAATATATAAAAATAATATATTTTAACTAATAATTCAATATTAAGTTAAATTTTTAAAATAAGAAGAAGTATTTAAATAAATTAAATAATATCTGATAACTATACTTATTTTAATTTACTCTAGCTTTATAAAGAAATTCTATTTTTATATCAATATCTCAAACTCAGAACTTGAAGCTATTCTATCTCAAAAAGATAAAGATGAAAAAAAATAAATAGTTATTTACATAAATATCATTTTGAAAACTAAATAAATAAAAATATAGAATTACTAAAAAAGAAGTACTAGTAATAGTATAAACTATTAGATAATTTTGCTATTATATACTTAAAACTGTATTTAAAATAATAATTAATCATAATATCTTGAGATGATTATTTAAAAATTAATAAAATCATTCTTTTAAAGTAAATTGATGAATCATATCTCTCATAGAATATACTTTTATTATTACTTATTAATCTAGAAAAAAGAATCAAAATACTGATATCTTATTTTGAATATATTTGAAAAATTATTAAGAAATATTTCTTTTTATAATAATAATATGAATTTAATAACTTACTATAACTTATAATAATAATAAAATATATCTTATAAAATCAACTCTTGAATAATAATGAAAAATATAAAATTAATTAAAATATTTTTTACAAATTAATAATATATTATATAAAATTAATAGAAAAAAAAATTAACTATATTTCTTAGAATTATTAAAGAAAATAAAATGAAAATTATTTTAATTAATTTATATTCAAACTCATTATCTGAATATTTTGAATTTAAAGAAATATATTAATAAATTGCAAATAAATATTAGTAAAATAATATAAAAATTAATATTAAGAATTATATGAAAACTTATGAAATTTGCTAGAAACTAATAGAAAAACTACTAAATAATCTTTATATTCTATCAAAATTAGATA